ATGAAAAACTGTTTTCATTCTAGCTGAAATAAGACTTTCTCCAGAGGAAAAAAATATTATAAGACATACTCTAAAAATGTTCTTGCTCTGTTAAACATCATTTGTAAAATATTTAAAAAAAGAAAGAAAAAAACAAAACAAAAGGGGGCTAATAATTCTGACTTCAACTGTATATGGTTAATATGCACTGTTTATATGCATAGCCTACAAAGACCACTGCAATTTAATTTAATGTTTTTGTAAATGAAAAAAATTATAATACAAAATTGGATCAGACAACGTAATATAATTAGTTGTAGCAGCCTATAGTAAGGTTTCTGTGACTTAAAAAAGTTGTGTAAAGTTGGTAATGTATATAAAGTTAAATCGAGTTTATAAAATAGATTTATTCATTCGTAATACTTTAAACATGTAAAAAATGTTCATGTGTGTACATCTGTATCTGTAATGTGTGGTGAAGGTACAAAAGGTTTAGGAATTTTCTGAATGAATGGATTTAAATAGTTCTTTATTCTGTAAACATGACATGCTTTAAAACCATATCAGTGGGTTCTCTCCTAGTTGTAAGTCAGTTAATTTGATTAAAATTATAATATATGATAAAATTAAAGTTAATTTATTTAAAAGTATGTGATGCCGGTATTTTTTGTTTGCGTGTTTTTAAAAAGTGTTAACCTACATAGTCGAGTTTTACACCATGAAATGGCTTAATTTTAATGGGATCCTACTGGATCCTGTTCCTAAACATATAAGACTTTTGTGTTTTATGTTCCAGTGTTTATTTTAATTGATATACTCGTGTGTGTGTGTGTGTGTGTGTGTGTGTGTGTGTGTTTGTTTGTTTGTGATTGAAAGACTGCAAGCTGTGTGAGTTTATGCAGACATTTTAGAGGTTATGTTTAGCTGCTGAGATCATTCAGAGACTTAATCTACTCAGGGAATGTTTTTCCCTTCACACACATTTTATTTCATGTCTGAAGAGATCTCATATGCAGCAATCCCAGCAGTGTGAAATTGGCTTGAGATATCATATGAGAGCCTCTGAAATAGTTTTAGTGGGACCACTGTTTTTCTTTTAAATTAAATTTCGAGCACTAAGCTTTTGATAGTGAAACGCATAATCATGGAATCCAGCTCAACCCAGAGAAAATAGATGCTCTATACGGACGGAGCTTTCTCGTCTATTTATTGACCCAAATCCACAATTGACTGAAATGTGAAAGCATCATGTCCCTGTGCACCTCCAGTTGATCCGACTGACCCAAAATTTGAGTTACCAAGATAATTGTGATGCGGTTTCTCACCATACATTGAGTTGAGAGAGCACCCTCCACGTCCTTGATGAAGACCTGTGAAGACAGAGCAAGTCCATAAAGTAAGATTTTTGTACTGCCGACCTGACCCTTATAAAAGCAACATGTCGAGGAAGGATCAACACATGGAAATACGTGTCCTGTCGGGTGAAATATATTTTTTTTCCCTGTTTTGATCTCGATGTGGCCGAGGAGTAGCTTAGAAAGCTAACTTATGCTGCCAACTTAGTCCTTTATCTAGTCAGGAGAAAGCCTGGTCTGCAGCAGTGTGGCTCTGTTAGGAATGCAGAAAACTTGAGCAGGAGCAATATCCTGTTACACAAAGCCTATGCCTGACATTTGTCATTTAAAACTAAATCACTTACTTCATAATGTTATATCTTAAATTTGCACCTTTTCATAATACTAAAACAAATCCATTGTATATTATTTTGTTTAAAATAAAGTTAGATCATGTATTCCTTTTCTTTTTTTATTTCATTTTAATCAAGCAGATAATAGGCAATAGTTAATATTACATTAAAAAAATACTATTAATAGAAAATAAGCAGAAAAAAGGCTATATTTACAAGCAAACACCAAAAAAAAATGGTCTAGTATGTCATGTTGTGAATGTCACACAACAATGTTGCTACATCCATTTGGTGTCTTACATTTCTATACTGTAAAATAGTGAGAATGTAGACACACAGCGTTATCTTTGTAAAAAATGCAATGCTGTAAACATGGAAAACTTGTCATTTTTTGAGAATGATTGATGTGTTTGTAATGTGATAAATTATAAGCTCAAGAAGTGTCACTGAAGCACTTTTGCTGTTAACCCAACTCCTTATTTGTCAAAACATCCCTGTTTTCAATCACCTAAATAAAAGAAAAACAATTTAAATGATTTAGAATAATATATTACATTAGGTATTAACAAGTGGCATGGTGGCTCAGTGGTAGTGGTATAGGTGAATTGAGTAAATAAATTTAGCCGTAGTGTATGAGTGTGTGTGTGAGAGATTATGGATGTTTCTCAGTACTGGGTTGCAGCTTGAAGGGCATTCGCTCTAGTGTCTATTGTGGGGGCAACCCATGAACTGTGTGGTGGACTCCGGAAGTAATAGATGCCATCAAGATGAAGGAGGAGTCCTACCAGGCCTGGAAAGTTCTATACCTTCTCTTGTGTGCTTGAGGATTTGCCTGTCCAGTCCACAGGTCTGATCTGATCTCTGTATGACCGGACCAGAAGTTTGCAGCTATAGGGAAGAAGTGGTCTGGATTGGAGACCATGGAATTTAATGCAGATGTCCTGTTGGCTTTATCAGATCAGGATCTGCAGCGTGCGCTGGGATGGTTTGCTGCCAAGTGTGACGCAGCAGGGATTAGAATCAGCACCGAGGCCATGGTGCTTGACTGGAAAAAGGCGGCTTGTCATCTCCAGGTTAGGTCGTCTCCGGCTTAGTCCCTTTATTAATCCGGGGTTGCCACAGCGGAATGAACCGCCAACTTATCCAGCACTTTTTTACGCAGTGGATGCCCTTCCAGCCGCAACCCCTCTCAGGGAAACATCCACACACACATTCACACACACTACGGACAATTTAGCCTACCCAATTCACCTGTACCGCATGTCTTTGGACTGTGGGGGAAACCAGATCACCCGGAGGAAGCCCACGCGAAGGCAGGGAGAACTCCACACAGAAACGCCAACCGAGCCGAGGTTTGAACCGGCGACCTTCTTGCTGTGAGGCGACAGCACTACCTACTGCGCCACTGCCTCGCCCCCAGCAGTTCAGGTATCTTAGAAAATCTTACAAATCTACATTACTACTCTCACTTATTGTCATGAATCTTGATTACAAGTAGCTGAAATGAGCTTCTTTTGCAGGGTTCAGGAATTCTGTCACTCACGGGGAAGAGCTGCTTCTTCTTCACCAAATGAGAAAAGCCAGCTAAGGTGGCTCTGACATCTTTTTCTGATGCCTCATAGACACCTTCCTGGGTAAGTGTTCCTCCAGAACATACTAGAGGTAATATACTTGAGGAGACTATGTCTGTATGCTTGTCTGGGAACACTTTGGGATCCATCTAGAGGAGCTGTAGAAAATGTCTGGGCAGAGGAAAGTCTGGGGTTCATTCTGTTGGACATTCAATTTCCTTTTAAATTAATAAATAAAATTGTTTTATTTTAAATATACACAAATACATTTATATTTAAAAGATTAAATTACAACCCCCTCATATCTTTTTATGATAAACTGTCATTTTACAATGTCACAAGCAAAACTAAATGTTATGGTGATACATTTTCTGATTTATATAGTGAAAACACACTCAACTGTTTCGTTAACCCTTGTTTGCTGTTGAGGATATAGATTTTGAGTCCTAATTTGGCCGCAACTTTCTGTTTTTCAGTAAGTGGAATGATTTTGGTGACAAACCTTATTTTGACACCTATTTTTAAAATGCTTTTATTATAATTAATTATTGTTCGTGACCATTTTTTGTCCAGTTGATTTTTATTATAATGCAATTTTTTTCTTGCAAAGCCATGACACCATGCATTCTTGATTGTTGCTGGTTTTCCCTGTTTGCAAGAAGTGAACATTTTAGTTAAAATATAAAATGTTTACTGTTGATCATTTGCAGTGTGAAAAAGGTGTAGTTTCTGCCATCTATAAGGAGTATGTGGGTGTGTGAGAGAACCCTTAGCAAACTTATTTTGATGTGTCTGAGAAAATCAAAATAAGCAGCTCAGCTTTCTAAACATAGTAAACATAGTAAGTCTTTATGCACACACTATAATCTGCTGCTACACTACAGAATTCCATATAAAAGCCAGAAACTTTTTTGTACAAGCCTATCTAAAGGATTAATGTTGCCAACTGATGATTAATACCAAAACATAGTTTTCAACCTATCAAGACGTATGCTGTGATCGACAGTGTCAAATAAAGCACTTAGATCAAGCAATACCAGCACTGTTTGTTTGCCTGAATCTGTATTCAGTGGAATATCATTGATTTATGCGCTCTCTGTACTATGAACTAGATTGAAAATTGTCTAAACATCCCTTTAAGAACTCATTAACCTGGTTAAAACAACTTTTTAAATAATTTTGCCAATGACAGGGAGATTTGAAATCGATCTCTAGTTGTTCAATAAGGTGTTATGTAGGTTGCTTTTTTTAAAAAGATGTTTAACAACTACAGAATTTTATAATTATTTTAGGGGGTTTTCTCTTTATTTATAAAAGGCCAGTAGATATTTCAGACAGGAAAGCATTGGGAACAGAGAGAAGGGAATGATCGGCAAAGGACCTCAAGTTGGGAATTGAACTCGGGTCGCCATGAGCACGACAGTGCTATATGTCAGCCCACAGTACTACTAGGCTATTGTCGCTGACAACAATTACAGTTTTAAGGGAGTTTGAAAAAGTCTCAGAAAGAAGTGAAGCATTTACCACTTTTAGGAGATCTGTTTCTAAACAATTTAATCGTTTTAAAAAATTATGTGTGGAGTGTGTCAGATCTTCAGGTTAATGTTTTCATAACCTGTACGATCTCTTTCAAAATTGTACCACCAATTGCCATGACTTAAGAGGTTGATCCTGTCTGATGTCAGCATAATTTGGCTGATTGGATGAGCTGATTGCCTTTCTGATATTATCTCATCAGTAAAGAAATGTGCAAACTCTTTGCATTTACAACTCATACAAGTTAATTATTCAATATTTAATTACATCCATAAATACTATGACAGTCACTCATTCAGCGATTCACCATAAGTACAAATAAAACATACTTCTGTTATAGCAAAAACTTTCAAATTCATCCAAATTATTTCAAATCTTCTGGATTGCATACATAATTTCCTGTTTAAAACACTCACAATCATTATACTCACTTTAGAAAATAGACATTATTGTTCTCCAACTAAATTAGATGAAATAATCTCAAATTATTATTTATGCTTTTATTTTTAAGCTGAGGTAGATTGTTGTTACAGAAGCAGAAAATGTAGTATCAAAATTAAGGCTAAGTATCTTTCTCTACAAACAAAATCTAATACATTTATTTGGCAATGTTACCACAACCATGTAATGACTCGTTTCTTTATACATATATAATTATTACAATCATTAATAATGCATTATGACATGTGTCTGCTACAAAAGTATTACTTAAAAATATACTTTAGATCCTCTTTTATTCAATACAAGTACCAAAGTGAAATGTAACATCAAGTACTGGCAGCATCATCATTGCATTTAACAGCATTTTGAAATATAGTTGGTCATACTTTACAGCACAGTTTCAAATGAAGGAATTACAGTTTGGCCTTAACGTTTGAACTGTAGAGGTGCTCTTGTAAAAATGCTAAAATCTTCTTCCATGAGTCCTCTTGAGCGTATGCATGTGGTTTAGTTTGTCCACCCCACAGCATGACAACTGCAGAAAAAACAAAACAACATTCAGATGTAAATTCAAACAGATACATGCACATTTGAGAAGAATTAAAGAGACAAATGATTTAAAAATTAATAGTTGACATCATTCACTCTCCTTCCACATGTTTCAAAACTGTACGAGTTTCTTTATTCTGTTGTACGCAATAGATTATATTTTGGGGAATGCAGTGGTGGACAAAATACAAAAATTAGTCACTTAGTACAAGACAATTAAAGTAAATCAGCACAGATCAGTCAGCCAAATAAAATATTACTCCAGTAGAATTATAAAGTCCTCCTTCTCAATAGTACATGAGTCAAAGTACATAAGTACTTGATTTTTAATTTATTAATTAAAGTGAAACATTAAGTGAAATTGTGAAACCACATTCACAAGCTGAAACCCATTGGGATCAGTTTGTAAAATCAGTGAATCATTTACTAGAGACACTCTGTACAGATCATTTGAAAATGTGTTTTTTATTGGAAACTCACTCAGTACAGGTCATTTGAATCTGTTAATCATTTACTGGATACTCACTGTGTATGTATCAATTGAATAAGTAAAATCCTTGACTGGACAGTCACTATTAACGCATCATTTGAATCTTTGAATCATTTACTAGAGACTCGCTCTGAATAAATCATTTGAATTAGTAAGTGATCTCATAGGACTCATAAATAGATATCATTCCAACTCACAAATTAATTGTTTAGTGCAATTTGTGTTTACCAGAAGAAATAAACTCTGTGTTTTTGGACTTCTGGAGGTATAGTAAATGGTGAGCAAATTTTGTGAAATATACCAATTTAATCCACCTTTTTCAATTGTGCCATAACGCTTTGTGTGAATTATTGAAGTAACTTCCATTAAACTATAAAATATAAAGTGTATTATTTAAGTGTATTATTACTTGCAGCAGGATCATAAATAGCCCAGCCTGGAAATCTCACAAGAAAACACAACTATTTAAGGTTTTGGCTGTATAGTGGCTAATTCGTTTGAATTAAATCATACGAAAATGTGCGAATTTAAAAAGGAGGTGTCGCATCCAACTCTGCTTCTAAACCCAACCGTCATTAGGGATAAGCAAATCATATTAAAATGGTACAGATTAGATTGTCTGAATTCATATGAATTAACCATTAAAAGTTATGAATTGCCATCAGATTGTGTTGCAATAATACTAAAAAGTCTTTCCACAGCTATATTATAGACTGAGGGGCCATTTACATACGTTTTCAGGCAGAATGCAATAACTTTATGGATTTTGTCAGTTAATTTAACTGCATTTTGGGGACTGAAAATGCATACAATTTAAAATGGAAGTTTTTGAGACCACCACCATTTTATTGATTTTAAAGAGAAGGGTGACTTCATCATACTTAAGAAGGGAGGCACACATGGCAATTTTGTTAGTCGAGTTTCAGTGGTGTAAAGTAACAAATTACAAATACTCAAATTACTGTAATTAAGTTTTTCTTCAGTAGTTTTAAAAATGTGTACTGGTATGGGTACTTTTACTCCACTACTTTCCTTCAACCTGCAGTCACTATATATTTTTTTGTCTATGGGGATTCGAAAAATCAGTCTAGTGCTTCCTGTCCAATCAAAATCACACAAAGGTTGGTAAATTGCATCATAATGAACTACATAAAGACATGGGTGGTTTTTAAATGCAGCAAACCTTTTTGAAGCATTAAAAGTGTGCAAGAAGATGTCCAACATTTTTACACGCAGTGACCCAGACTGTTCAGATGCATGTCACTGATGAAAAGATGACAAATGTTTACTTTATAATGACCGAAATGGTCTTAAACACCCAGCAGGCACAAGACGTCAACATAATGTCGTGGGGACATTGCAATTTGTTTGCTAGGCAATAAGTAAATGCACTACAGAATATTACGTTTACACACATCTACAAGCGTTTACAGGGTAAAACTCACTACTCTTGACTATTTTTGAAAGGGCTAAGTAATAGCACTTTTACTTGAGTATGATTTTTAAGTACTCTTTCCACCACTTTAGAGTTTGCTAATGCAACGTGGATTTACTTCACCAATATTACATTCCACAGCAGATACGCTTCATTTGTAAATATCAAATTCTAAATGCATACCAATACCCTAAGCTGCTGCAGACATGTTATCCCTTTCCTATATGTACTGTTTACTAAAAAGATGACAATGGCAAAAACTGGCTGGGCATATGTAATACAGAATATTTGGTCATTTTTGCAGAGATTTGATATTTGTAAATTCATATTATCCTGGCAATGTTGTGCATATGAGAACAGTATGAAATGCAACAGAAAACTATTAAATTTATGGCATTATCATGTAAATGTAGCCTTAGAGTATATTAAATATCATAACACAGCCTTATTATTTAAAAGTTTCAGTTTATCTCAATGGAAGTTACCCAATCCGAAAGTGCAGCTCCTAATTTAATGTAGACGTCATGAGAGTAAAATGGTGGATATGAAAAAATGCAAATAGATGCAACAACGGATTACACATGCTTACCTTTCTTCTTCGTGTCATACAGGATGAAGTTACTTGCTCTGAAGTGAGGTGTGTATGGAGGTTCAATCAGATGACCAGCATCAGGGTATGTCAAGACCGTCAGCAGGTGTCGATTTCCTGCTTTCTCCATTATCATCTCAATCTGTGAGTAAATGAATCATATCAAGGCTCTAATTTAATTCAAATGTGTGAACAGTACATAGTTAACTGATATTTAAAAGGTAAAATGCCATGCGAGTCAATGGTAAACAGAACTTTTTTGGGTACCAACATTCATCAGAATATCTCCTTTTGTTTTTGTGAGTTAAAAAAAATAGAAAGCCTGTTAAAAGTGAACTTGAATAAAAAAAGGTTTAATGTTTTGCTTAAATGGCATTGAGATTAAATCTTTTAATGGGAATAAAAAACTCACTTGGAACAAGTCAATTGTGAGTAAATGATAGCAGAATTTTCATTTTTGAGTCAACTGAATTTTTGTTAACCCTTTAACAAAAATTGATCAAAACAGCAAAATTATCACAACAAAAAGGAAAATCCACCAGGGTATATCTACATTTCTAAGTTTTGATTAACGTTTAATTATCTAATCAAAGAGAAAATATATTACAGAAATATCAAATATTTACAAACAAAAAATTGGTCTACTGTCCTTTGTTAATATTGCCATATATTATCCTATATATTACTATTATTATACTATTATCATTATATTATATTGCATTTTAAGGTTTCATACACAATCAACCTTTAATCAAGCCTTGGCTATTAAATTTCATGGAATATAACATTTATTCCAGACATTGAAAGTCAGAGAAATCTATATATTTTTTGTCCAAGTCATGGAATATCAGAGTGTTTTTTTGTCATTTTAAATTTAACTTACTTCATATTAGACATACACCAATTGATTGGGTTGGGTCGATAGACGATGCAATCATCGTCCATCGCTGATGGCCAATAGATATCACGATGCTGAGTCAGCACCGCAGTCCTCTACCCCACCCTTGTCACAGCAGCAACCCGCTCGCGAAAAAATATACACGGCCTCATTTAAACTAAAACGCCTTAGTTTTAAAATGGCACGTCCACACTGGCGTTTTACTGAGCTCCAGCAGTCAGCCGGTGCTTTGAGCACAAAACCCCGGAGAGCAGTGCACGTTGGACACTTTATCAAGGATGTACCGCTGGATCGTGTCTCACTATCATTGTTAAACGTGATATTTAATTCATCTCGTCTTTATCTAAAGACTCTTCGGTCTTTTGAATCTATCAGGTAATGTGTCACAGTGTCAGTGCACTGCTTTAATCTTTCGCTTTCACGCTTGTACTCAGTTTTTTTTTTGGAAACCTCAGATACTGTTGGTTGGTTTCGTTTGGTTGTGCACCTTTTATTGCTAACCAAGTTTGTTGACGCCATTATAACAACACAGATCACTCTGCCTGTTTATGTCAGAGTCCCACAGAAAATGTGATTGAACAAGTGGTAATTCGCGTGTAGCTTATCTTTATTTATTTATGATTTGGGTATGGGAAAAACAAAGACCATGTGGGTCAGGTAATTGAAATGGTAGGCTACAAATAATTAATTTGTTGTGAATTAATTAATCATTAATGAATGCCTACAATGACGATGCCATCGTCCATCGCGATGTTTTAAATTAGACATGGTACGATGCCCAATCGTTCGACATCGCCCAACCCTACCAATCGATCAGCCAGAGACCAGAATCAGCTGATTTTTCACATGGTTGGCTTCTCAGCTGGTTGTTGAAACAACACGAAATGTAAAAAACTAATAAAATACGTTATTTTATTAGTTTTTACAAATTTAAATCGATTGAGCAAAAGACTGTTAATTGTGTTGTTTCAGCTCATTTTAAGTTAGTTTGAACAAACAGCAAATGTAATTTGAGTGTATTTGATTTAGTTTGTGTACCTGAATATTGCTCCATCAGGCACAATAATCTTTATATTATTTTGTAGTGTGTGCTATGCAGCAGTTATCATATCTTGCAGTGTGCGCACATTTAAGATTTGAGGTAATAACATCGCCATGATGGTCAAAACAAGTTCATTCAGTATTAAATGTCAATCTTGTATGCATATCACATTAGCCTGCAGTGAAACAAATCAGACAGACTTTGAAAACGGTTACACCATGCATGCTGAGTGAGTATCAAATATTGTTCCATTACGAACATATATTCGTGAGGAATGAGAGACATTTGAATAGCTTTTAATAAACACAACTTGTCCTGTGTTGTTTTAACGAATGCCATTACCATCTGTGTTGGATGTATTAATTTGTTTGCATATTTTAAGATTTTTTCATATTCTAAATAAAATTAAAGAATTTAAAAATTTAACTTTTTTTTTCACCCTAACGGCACAATAAAGGCTAAAGAACTTAATTCGTAGATTTGTTTCATTTTTGCAGCCTAGGGCTATGCTTCTCACCATGTATTGTATCTTTTCTAAAACATACAGTATAGTGTAAAAGCATGCTTTTTACTAAGAAAACCTAAACAACCAAACAAAATGATATTTTAATTGAACACATCACATAAGGTGTACACACACAGTACCATCCTATCTAGTATTGTATAAAGGCAAAGCTGAAAATCTATGGTTAAAGGCCGCAGGCGCACTTAATACTTCTGCAGCGACAACAAACATGGCGGCAGAGGGAACATAGGCTACGTTCAAACTGCAGGCAAATGTGGCCTGAATCAGATTTTTTTGCCCACATGTGACTCAGATCTGTTTATGTCTTGAACAGCTCAAACCGCATGGAATCTGATCATTTCAATTCAGATTTGTGCCACTTTCAGTAGTATTTTTGTAGTATTAAATCAGGCACATATCTGATGTTTTGTAATCCGACCGCAGTGAAAATGGTTTTGTAGGATTTCATGTGACTTTTACATAATCTTTGAGTGACATGAGTCTTCATTCTAAGCTGCAAACATCATCTACTCCTCAGCAGCATTCTAGAATTGCACCACAGAAAGTTGGTTGTTCGTTTTGAAAAAGATTATTGAAGGCAAAACTGGTGCTTGTTAGCCAATCTAGTTTGGGGCACGGGTTGATCGCAAAGCTGAAGAGCGTGGGGGAGTGTTGTGAATAGAGGATTTGTGTTTAAAGAAAGGAGCACTTTCATTTTAAGGATGAACTTTCAGAGTGAAAAAAGGGCAGGTGCTCAAGCACCCAAACCCCCCTTCTGCACATGCCTGTTGTTTATAACGAAGTGAACTGAAATAACTCTGCAAACAGAGATAAACCAACTCCACCTTCACAGTTCTGCAGTCTGCGGCTGCTCATTAACCCTTGATGAGTTCACTACACCAGTGATCCTAAAAAACGCACATCGTGATTGTCAAAAATCACAAATGATTTCAATCTCAGCATTTTCAATCACAAGAGGCTTATTTCAGGTTTCAAATGGCAAAATACACATTAGTAGTAGCAGGACAACCCTTTGCAGTTCATGAATTACACCACAGTTGTCTGTGGAAAGGGCAATAATCATATTAAGCATAATCTCACAACGTGCTTCCTACAGTACACACATTAGTTTTCGGTCACTCAATGACTGTGATCTGTTCACACTGGAAATCTGATTTGAGCACTTAGCCTCGCATTGTGAACATAGACATATTAAAGTGGTGACATCTGTATACTCCCAGACAACTATAAATCACTGTTTATTTCACTTGCATATGTGCTCCTTTTTATCAAACTTCTGACTGGTTTATTACAATTTATGGAGACGCTCACCTTTACAAAAATCAAGTTTAGGATAATCCATTAATTTGGTGAAATTATCCTCAATATCGCAATATGCACTGCAGAAAAATAAATTATTGCAATGACATTTTTTTTCCAGTATCGTGCAGCCCTACTCACTACACTGTGCTTCCACACCAGTGGAAACATGACATTACGGGGGATGAAGTGTTCAAATTAAGTCAACGCAAAGATGCAATTAGACATCCTGGGGTGCTATTTGCACAAATGAGGCGCAAATTATGCGAATAACACGCACGATTGAGCGTTTCAGGCAAATCAAAAAATACAGAAAAATATTAGTAATGGATATTTTTTTTATAGTGTGGCCAAAATTTGCGAGAAATCTGCATCAGTAAAAATTGCAAGGTCCTCTAAATATTGCAGCATTTAGCATTCGCAGAATCAAACAATTCTGGAGGCACTGCTTAAATCAGCTTTTTGGTCAGTGAAAGTCATGGAATTTCACATGACTTGGAGTGGCAACTTTAAAATAAATAAACTAATTAATTAACATGCATACAAGCATACAAATGACTCACGTCTTCAGCAGATTCAACAGTAGGCCAATTCTGATCATCAGTTCCATTTACCAACAAAAGAGGACACTTTATTCTCCCAACCTGAAAAGATAAAACACAACTGATGTTTACGAAAAGAAAAGAAAAAAACTGAAAAGAAAAACATACTGAAGTCAGACTTACGTCTACTTTGAGAGCTGGGTCTGAGGGAATCGGCAAGAGCATGTCTCTGTGTATTAAGTGGTTGTCCTCATTCACTGGCACTTTATCCACAAGACTGCAATGAACATTCACATTTTGTGTTGCTGTTTATTCAATGTCATTCACTGTAAGTGCCTGATATGAGAGGATTTATTCACTTTCTGAAAGAATACTACACAACAAAAACATTTAATACCATTAAATGTTTAATTAGCAAGACAAATCAGTTCATTAGTTGCTTATATCTGTTAAATTTACTGGTTAATCAATCTGTACACACACAAAATGAAAATTAAATCTGCTATTTGAGTTCACTCAAACACTCAGAATACTAAATATGATTATTTTAATACTGTGGATATTAAGAACTATTATAGAATTATATAAGTCAGATATTACAAAGTTACTTTTTTTTGTTAAAAATGCTTGTCGTGATATTTTAAAAATCCAAATTTTGTTTTGTGGATCTGCTAAAGAGGTTTTTATGCATTCAAATGTAAAAAAAAAAAAAACATTTTGTTTTCTCATAATAGACTAGTGTATCATCTAATTTCTCAAAGTGTTTCAAATGATCTCTCTAAACTCCTTCATTTGGAAAAGTACACTCTTCTCTGACTGGACAGATGGTCTAATCTATTCTGATTGGTTTTCTGCTGACAACGCATTGAAAATCAAATGCCCAATACTATATCTTAAAGGTTCAATAGGTGATTGTCTTCATAAACATTTTTGTTGTGCTGGTTGAAAGTCTCTTCACGTTACAATAGTAATAATTCAAGTAAATTATTTAAAGGATTAATATGAATTTTATATTCTGGATATGCATTATATGACTAAAAAATGGCAGGCAAACAACATCAGGCTGGCAATCTTTCTGTAAAACTGGCAGGCAAACAACATCAACCAGACCTTCTTTCTGTAAGACAGGGTCGGTGTGGGACTCCTTTTCAGCCCTGGAGTTTCAAGCCTTAGACTGGCCCACCTCAGTTCACGACTGACTATATTAAAATAACGTCATTTTCAATTCAGTTTCTAATGACACCATCACGTCTTTTCAAGAACACAGCTGCTTTAGAACAGTATTATATGTCTTAACAATAAAAATAAAAAATAAATAAATAAATAAATTACTCAAGTGAGGTTTGAACTTGGGTCAGCGTAATGCAACATGCTGACCACTGGATCCCAACGGCGCTGTTACGCTGGTGCGTTTGGAATAAAAATAAATATTGCACTAGTTATCAGCTAGACTTAACCACAGTATTACTTTCTATTGATGGCTTAATCTTTTTCTACCCTTTTTAGATTTCTGATCAAGTTATGTCAGGTTTATTAATGTAGTGAATCATCTGATTTTCATTGAGTAGATGTAATCATTAATATGAATTATTAGAATTCTTATATTCACTAAGGTGCTGCTGTTTGGGGTCGAATGATAGTTACATCATCATTAACCTGCAGGCTGCATTTTGCTCACGGGGCTGCATAAAAATAAATAAAAATAGTGGAGCTGTGGCGAAATAATGAATAAAAAGAGAGGCTATGGTCAAAAAAATAAATATATGAAAAAAGTGCGACTGCTGAGAGTGCAAGCAGCTAGGGACACCAGCCCTTGCTGCCAAAAACACCTGACTGGCCAACCGGGAATTCTCCCGGTCTGGAGGCAACTAAGTAGTTCAAACTGAAGAATATTTAGACTGAATATTCAGCATTTACAAGTTTAGTTAATTTTGACTGACATGACATAAGAAAGTAATAATGTTATAAAACAGCAGAGTTGTATGAAAGCAATTGATGCATGTCCAAAAGTATTTGCAATTTGTTGGGAGGAATGAGAAACTGCTACTATGATGTGCACAAATGACTAATTGTTTTGAGAAATAGAATAAATATTTAGCTTAACAAAATGTTTTGTCACTATCTGCTCCCAGCAGCTTGTTCCAAGCTCCGATTGTTGGCTTAATGGTCCTAAATAGCTATCACTAGCTACATCACTATAGTGGATGACTAGTAATCGTAGCAAAAGCAAAGCAAAATAATGCTTAGCAAATAATAATAATTATATGCTAATACAATTAATGCATGACAAGAAAGCACAAAGCAAACACATCAAAACTTTAGGGAATAAGATCCACTTACCCTGTGAAGTCCTCAATGACTTTGAAGAGGCATTTATCAACAGGAACCACATGACTTCCACTGATACACACACAACACTGGGGCTACAAGCAAAACTACATGTTTAAAAAAGTAAAATTACATTCAACAATAAGAAAAGCTACGAATGTAGATACTGTACATATAAAATGTATATTTGGGCAAGTAAACCTTAATGACTCTGGAGTAGGCAGTCATACTGAATGTGATGGCACTTCCAAAACTCAACCCTAGCATTGCCATCTTGTCCTTCTGTACTAATGGATGATTTTGCAAGATCTGGTATGCTTTCTACAGGAACACACATATACACATAATTACAAAGTTAAAAAAGACCTGGCTAAGTGGGAAACGCACACAAAATACATTGATAATGAAATTAAACTACAAAAGCTGATCCAAGGAAGCAGGATCAGCACTGAAGCAGAAGCATTTACCTCAAAGTATGTATTATTAACATCAGTCAATTTCAGCATTGCTGGAGCGAGGTATTCAAGTGCCATACATGCAAAACCATGAGATGCAAGCAGAGCAGAGCGATATTCAATCAATCCACCACCTCCTCCCCATAGGTCCAGCACTCCTGGATATGGCCCAGAGCCTAAAAAAGACACACAGCAGATTATTTGCAAACTAATTAAAAAAATTAAAGTTCATTTACAGAAATATGATCAAATCTGGCAAAATACAACTTCTGATTTTTGCATGTCATGCCCTATCACCAACTCATATAACTTGCATGTACAAATTATGTGGCCTGTTGATTCCTTCAAATTAAAAAGAAATTCCGACAGGCTTTATTTCAGTTGACAGCTTTGGTATTTAAGTGGCACCAAACAAACAAACAAAAAAGCAAATCTGGATTTTGGTACCAAACCAACCTTTTCACTCTGACAATCTTGCCTTTCGTAAATATCACCAAACAAAGAAATAAATACATCTTATACATCTCTCTTATGTCCACCCTCTGTACACCTGGTGCCATGTACCAGCGCTCTGTGACAGTCCTGGCCAGCGCAGAGGTCTGACTGAATCCTTGAGACAGATGCCCACTGTAGACTGATATGTTAACTACCATCGGTGTGAGTACATTCTTCTTGCGCAACCTTCAATAAAAACAGACGAAGGAAAACAAAGAGAAAGTATAGGAATAAACATGACTTTTGCCTCTCAATTTGAATTAATTTGCGAAAGGCGTATTTAAACTCTGTAAAACCCACTACAGTAAATCCACCATCATTCTACAATAACTTACCTGAGAGCAGGTCTACTTCCTGGTACAGGCCTTAGGCTCCACAGCAAACCCATCTGCTCTGTGCCTTCATACGTGCCTCCCAAACTTACATCATTTGCCACTATTTCAACAGGATTTATACAAATGTCATTCATTGCACTTTTTGGTGTCCAGCTGGAAAATCTAAATTAAATTAAATGAAAATCTAAAACTAAATCCTTACTTTAATATGATCTTTAAATAGTCAAACAGGTTATTTATCATAACATAAGTTTGTGCCACTATTTTAACAGGATATATGTAGTCATAATGTCATACATGGATTCTGGACCGTTGTTTTAGGTTATTAATGTTCAATTCTTATTAGGTAGATGGATGGATGGATAGATGGATAGATGGATAGATAGATAGATAGATAGATAGATAGATAGATAGATAGATAGATAGATAGATAGATAGATAGATAGATAGATAGATAGATAGATAGATGGGTCATTTTTTTCATGGAGTATGTTTACATGTGTTCAAATTTTAAAGAATCATGCATCAGATTGTTGTACACACCTGTTACTTTTCCATGTTTATCACTGATATAGTGTCCAAAAGCCTCCCAGAAGTCCTTATCTTCAGACTGATGTAGAGAGTGTAGCGTTACCTCTTGATTGGGCAGTAAATTCCTTATGATAATCTGAATTTTCTCGTCCACCATTCCTCGACATGGCTGAACAGTTAACAGAGGACATCTCCTACTCTCAGTGCTCACAGTTCTAGAGATAAATAAATGAAAGGCAGCAACGTCTTGTTTGCAAGTCTTGTTTCTGTTAAGAATACACTTCCATTCACATATTGGTTTCTATTAGTGGCTGATATGTTTAATAATATAAATTAAAACTAACTTTAAGACATTAAAAATTATTTAAAAAGCTAAAAAGTAAAAAAAATATTTGTGACTGAGTCATTGATTTACATACAAAACAATTCAGTGAAAAGTTCAGACATTTTCTATGGAGTAGGCATGGGCCAGTATACGATTCTGATGGCCTGATAACCCTGGATAAAAATATTACGATTTTACGGTATTGTGATTATTGCTCTGAAATATATTATTTTTAAATCGGAGTAAAAAAATAAAACTATTTTCAGCTTTGAACACATAATATTTTGTTTTGAGAAACCTTTAAACTATTTAGGAACAGTAAACATTTCAGGATAAATAATTCAAATTAATCATTGTCTTCTGCTGTCTTCATTTGTCTCAAAAACAGAGATTTCTTTACAGCTCAAGATCGTTGGATATCTTTTTTGCTGATATGCTGTTGTCCTAAAAAATACATTGACTTTTCTAAACCTTGAAAACGGTTCTTGTCCCATGCCTACTCATGAGCATGCCAACACATGTTATGTCAAAATTGTCATTGAATAAATCAACAATTCTTAATTGTTTTTCCCTCATTAACCTTGCTTCGGAAGTCACATGTAGGCAAGGCGGGCCACTTTTTTTAAAACATCTGTGGCTATCCTTTTGTGTCCTTTTTGAAACTGACACACTAATAGCTATTCAGTGGCTAATACACATTGCTGTCTATTAATAATTGTCATAGACTAGAAAGGCAAAATCCACAAGCTTTACAGCAAATGGCACATTTCTTTTGTGTTAGTCACAAACTATATAGGTTACGGTCATTAAAAAAATCTGTAACAGAAAAAACATTGAATTTTGTTTACTTTTTATAAGAAGTAAATAAAATAAATTTCTACGTTACCTAACTGGTGCTAACATGATGAAACGTCCAACAAGGGTAGACCAGCGTTTCATTTGTGAAAATAAACTGATTACAGTAAATCAAAATATTCCTGAAAAGAAAAAAAAAGTTAAATAAATGAAAAAACTTTTCAACATAGCGATGTGTAAAAGGAAATAAAATAAACATTGTAGCACGCAACTTTTTGTAAGACCTAGACGGAAGTGTTTAAAACTACTAAATGTATCAAGCTTAAGTCCAAATGATTGAAATATGTAACCTTGACGAAATTAGAGTTAAAACAATATAATTTTACTGTTGTCGTCTGCTGCGGTTCAGCAAGGGCTACTGCTGATGACGAAACATTACCTTTGACACGCATGTTTATGTCCTTACATAGGCAAAGGTATTTGTTTTAACTCTTTCAGGAGTTGGGACATACATGTTTAACTAAATTATTTCTATTCCGATAAACTATAAATCGTAGTTTAACGTGTTGTTTTGTTGTTGGGGAGACAGATCAAAACAACTGCAAAACAAGCCCACCACCATCACAAAGGTAACTTGTAGAAGTACTACAGTGATAGATTTTAGTGAATGGGGATATTATTAAATGACAACATAACTAGTTTCGTACCCAATCGATGTCGTTCCTGTTTTGGTGTTGTTGATACTCCCAGGCAAATCGCACACCACTTCGCGTGCACACATTGAATACCAAACTGTTTTATACCCCTAAACATCCCTTCCCCCGGCCAAAACGATTTGGGGGAAGGTCGCAAGTCGCATACCTCGGCTGAAACATGCTACTCGGCAGATCTTCGATCCAAGCGCCCCTGCCCTGTTGTTTCCGACTTGAAGTGAAAATATGGCGAAATATCATCAATCGAATAAATCATTCATTTTTTTTCTTCTTTTTTGTTGTGTTTTTAATTCTAAACGTTATAATATCTCAGATAGACAGTACATAGCCTAGGCCCAGTATGTCAGGAGGTCGGGTGGTTCGAAAGACACAACCCCCACTGATAAAAGGTCCAGTATTGTTGTCCCATACATGAGCTCATTTTTTAATTGTTTGTTTTATATCTTGACTGCTATGCTATTCCATCATAAATTCTGAAAATAACCCATCAAAGAAGGCTTTCAATGAATGCAAACAATATTCTAACATCCATGTGCAAGAAAACATACAATATGACGAAAGTGAAGTCACTACAAGTACAACTTTTATTCTGAATCTTGGACCTTATTCTTGATAGAAAAAAATACAAATAAAAAGTGGCCCATATTAAAGTTAATTTTAATACTAAAAGGGTATATTTGTTATCCATAATCTTTCAAAATGTATTTTTATAACAAAAACTTTTTCATTTTATCATAACTGCTTTTTGCTAATATAGGATGTAATAATCAAGCTAATCCAGCTAAAAATTGTTCTTAAAATATCTCTAAAATGCAGTATTTATAATTGCAGAAAGGTCCACATTTTGAGGAAAAAGAACCACCTTTTAACCAGGCTGGCTACGGGCATGAATCATGCTCTTTGATATTATTTATTCATATGGTTAATATGCACAGTTTATGTCCATACATAGCCTACAAAGACAACCTAATTGCAATTTAATAGAATGTTTTTGTTAATTAAACAATCAAAATACACTGTTGTATCAGAGAGTGTAATATAATTAGCTGTAGCAGCCTATAGTTATAGTGTACTGTGACTAAGAAAGGTTGTGTAATGTTAGTAATTTAAATAAAGTTAAATCAATGATTTTATAAAATAAAATTATTCTTTCTTTATACTTTAGACATGTAGATAATGTCCATCTGTATCTGCAATATGTGATGCAGGTACAAAAGGTTTAGGAATTTTATGAATTAATAGATTTAAATAGTTCTTTATGCTGTACACACGACATGCGTTAAGACCATATCAGTGGGTTTTAATTTTGATATTTTTTAAATTTGATCAAGTAATAAGATTTATGATATATAATATAATTAATATTGTTATCAGATATGTTATTATTATTATTATATAATTATTATTTAAAAATATGTGCATTTGTAATTGTTGAAAGAATGTCCCAAATATTAGAAGTAGGTCTTGCAATACTTTAAAATATATCCTCATATTTTTATATACAAATGTTAACTTAGTCAGAAATCTGATATATATATTAGAATTTCTGCTTATTTGCTATAGATACACTTGCATCACTTATACCAATGTCATGGAGGAGCAAATGCGTTTCCAATCTGTTTTCTCTGTGATCAACTCCGCCTGCGAAAAAGTAACTCATAACGAACATTTCACAAATTTTATTTCAAAAATGAACTATGAATATAAAACACATTACAGTGTGGCATTAACTAGTCTATACCATACAATCAGGCACAGAAAAGAGTGAACACAGTGACAAGGCAGGGGCAATTTTAGGATATTTATTCTAGGGGGGCTCAGCTCCTTATGAGGTAAAAAAAAGTTAATTAATTAAATGTATGTATGTATGTATATATATATATATATATATATATATATATGTATATATATATATATATATATATATATATATATATATATATATATATATATATATATATATATATATATATATATAAATTTAATTAATTCACTTTTTTTTTACCTCATAAGGAGCTGAGCCCCCCTAAAATAAATATCCTAAAATTGCCCCTGCCTTGATCTAAACATATTTTTAAAAAGGGGCTATAATTTCCACAGTAACGTTTTGTTTCGGTGATACTTAGGCAGAGCATTTTTAAAAAGTAGTTTACTAATTGTTAAAAAATATACACACAGTACAGTACACAAAGAAATCAAATCACGTTGTTCCAGAACTAAGGGTCAACAAAAGATCATAAAATAAAAGGACCAAGAGTTAATATACAACAACAATACAGTCCACAGAGTAAAATGTTATAACATGGTGTTTACTTTAATGTGTGTCCTGATACTGTTATTGCTTGTCAATCAGACAATGCTTCTATTCTGGTTCTTGTTGCCAACTGGAAGAAAGTGTTGTGTCTAAGTGCGTATTCTTTAATCACTGCGGGTTGCCAACACAACTGGTGGAACCACTTGTCACATCCATCACAGGCAATCTGAAAGATCTTACAGTATGTTTAAATACCATGATTCTCTCAACATTTGATTAAAATAATGTGTAAAAATGTCTGCCAGTATCAGGTGATTCATTCTGCTGTTACCCCTTAAGAAAACAGCACAAAATAAGCTGATGCAGATACTGTTTAAATACAGTTTTTCTCCATTGCTTTGGCCCAATTCTTGATTGAAATTCAAGTTTAGATCAGTTAGATCATTGTTCACTTCAGAGTGGCATTTCTTATTAATTTAAGCAAATTGCAAATGCTTTGGCACACGTGTGCAAACAGTAAGTACACATTTCTGTAGTTTGGACAAACACTAATTGCATATAGCTTGTTGAGCAAAACTGATAAGTCGATTCTCATTTAAACTTTCAAACTCTTCACAACTTCTCACTAATTTTTCATCACACTCAAAACAGTCTTTTCAATTATCAAACATTTGTATGCACACATTTACACCATAAATATCGAATACTGACATTGTTTATAATGGCTGCTAAATTGGTAAATGACCTCTAAATGTGATTACGATTATTTAACCAATCAAGTATGGGACCATATACCGTTTGGCAGTCAAAATTAGAAGTGGATCAAAACGTTTCACCAAAGTTGTCCAAAAACTATTCAGCAACACCCATTCTTGTCTTACAGTAGGACAATTCAGATTCACTTCAAATGTTGACTACTGTATACAGTATGTAAATATTATCACAATCACTACCTTTTACTATTTATTTATATATATTTTTTGAGAATGGAGAACTTCCACAATCATAAGCAGAAGCATCATGGTTGTGAAAGGACAATTGGAAGACTTGTAATTTCTGGCCCGATCAACAAGAGTTACCGGCTGTTTACCAAGCTTATTTTGTAGTATTTTTCTGTATTTAGGTAACATAAGAAATATGAAGTGTACAATAGAGTAATTGGACAAGCAAGATGTGTACTTTACATATGATACATTCTTACAAAAATTATTGTACTGTATAAATAGAAATATGTTCTTTTTTTCTATGCTTGACTCTTCGCAACAAATATTCACATTTTTATCTTAATTTCCATGGTTGACTGTCATAGTAAAAAAACAACTAATTGTTTTAAGCAGTGTGGTACACACAATGACAAACGCACTTGATGTATTGGTGGCCTTGGCAAAATTACTGAAACAATAACTAGGTTTTGAAACATGAATGTTAATCAATGTTAAGTCTGTTTCAAAATACGAGTAAAGCAATTAAGAAAAACTGTAAAAACAATTAAATTCTTTAATTACCCAAGACATAATTATGACATTAAAAACATTACCAGCATCACTGCATTGTTTTAAATTCTGAATCGACACTGTTCTGCAGATTAAAGTGTTTAGTAATTTTGACTTTAAAATCATCACGAGCCTCACCGTAAGTTATCTAAAAATTTTTTTAAAAAGACTGTACTAATTGTGCAGGGCATAGTTATTTTATAGACCATTTTGAAGGATGTAAAGAAAAACAATGGATCCAGCATATTTTCCATTTTACATTCATAATTTCTTTAGCTTCTGAGAATCCAAAAAAGAGACACACACTGATAATTAATGTTATGATAGCTGTTTTAACATGAAGTTATGTTTGAATTGCCTCTTTTTTCATAAAAAAAGGTTTGATAACAAGCAGGAAATGTTCTTGGGCCAATGACATGACCACATTGAAATGGTCTTCAATTTGTTACTTTTTTTTAAAGGTACACTGACACCCTGAGGACATGTAACCCCGCAGGTCTTACACCACCCAACCTGCTCCGAGCTGGGATCGAACCAAACTTTCCGCATGGGAAGAGTTAGTTGCTCTACCAAGAAGGCTAAAGATCAAGGCCTCTAGCATCTATCGCTAGAGCACCGTTTGAGGTCAGACGAGTGAGGTTTACCTGCACAACACTTACTAGCTGGCCTCCATTACATTCACCCCCTAACCTCACTACCATCCGGGTCATGGCACCAACGTAACAGTTAGTACTCGGTTTCCTTTGGGTTGTGTACAGTAAAGACCAGATCTGACACCAAATCACGGTTTGGACGGATAACTTTATTGTGTTAAACTGAGTAAAAACACAGTGATCAGTTTCAGCAGTTGTAACATGTTGTCCATGACCACTCTCTTGGCTGGCGTGAATAATAATCAAGTAAATAAACAACATGAGTTCAGAAACACAGTAATAAATATTAAATAATGTACCTGGTAAACAGAGTAAAAACACAGCGATCAGTTACAGCAGTCTAACATGCCATCCTGCAATGATGGGTACTGTCTTTTATTTTTTATCTTGTCTTATGTACAGCACTTTGGTCAGTCTTGTGACTGCTTTTAATTGTGCTTTATAAATAAATGAACTTGAACTAATAGCAATTATATAGTTGAAGTCATAAAGAAAAGATACATTGTGAATAATAAAACCAAAATGATCAACAAAAAATATATATTTTACAGGAGCACTCAATTACCACGACTTTTCTCTTCGCTGACACGAATAGTAATGATCTGTTGGAACTAGTTTATAAGATGCCACCAGCCAGTGAACAGGGAGGGGGGTCA